AAGATGAAATATATGCATTTAAGACATAACAAAAGGCTTTACACATTACCTGCTTTACCTTAACAGATCAGCTTAGTTTTATTTTTATTCATTTAGCAAGTACAAGAAATCACTTTACATGAAGAAGATAAAGATGCACAAGTTTACCCATAAGGAAGTTCCTGCTCAGCAGAGGATTTTAATTAAATGGACCTTGGAAGGTGAAACTCTCCTAAAAAACGATCTTCCTTCATAAATAGAGATGCACCGATCCGAGTTAGAAGCTGTAAATCTTTGACCTGCCAAAGAAATAACTCTTCTAACCTTCCAGCAGTCAGAGCTGATTGGATGCTTAATATAGAGACAGCAGCCAACATCAGAAATCAGTCACTGTAAAACTTCATTCTGCCAAAAGTCCACATATTTTTATTTAAAACACACACGTAAACTACTCTCCACACCGATTTTAAATGATTAAGCTTTTTCAGCTAAAAACAACAACAGATTATAAGGTTATACAAGTTAGTAATATAATGCAAGAAGCTTGAGAAAACAGTTTGTACTTCTTTACTACTTAAAAAAAGCTGGGCTTCTTAGAGGACCATGACTCCCAGTTACAGGTTAAAATGTTTTCTTATTGAATAGACAGAATCAGACTGCAGAGCTTCTACATATCTTGATTTTTTTTTTCTGGCATCATTATATGATTAATAGATTCATAAATCTTTTTAAACAGAGCACAGAGCGAAGCGGCGAGAGCTGCAGATTAAAGGTGAAACTGATTTACTGGGAAATGCAACATGCAATAAAATATATCTCCAAGTTTACCAGAAACTTTACAAGAAAAAAAAAATGTTATATTTAAAATCCAGCATATCCATATTTTTCTGGATAGATGGATGGAATTTAAATTGTACTTCTAGGGATGCATGATATGTCGATATTGGCATCGGAATCGGCTGTTATTCATTATTTTTTATACATGAGTGTTTTTGGACCCTATATATGTAATACACTAAAAGGCATCTCTCTACCTATAAATATAAATATCAGGGTGTTATGGTTCTCTTGTGTTCTCAACAATAGGAAAGCATTCAATAAATATATGTTTGAGCTCATTTTTGGAAAATACAGAAACCTAATGAAAGCGTTCGAGTGGAGTAACTGTAGGCCGTCCCAACCAACTTTCATCACAAAGTTACACCTTTGTCCTCACCCAATCTCGAAGTGTGCGCCCAGCCACCCTGCGAAGGAAACTCATTTCAGTTCGCGATCTTGTCCTTTGGGTCTTTACCCAGATCTCATGACCATAGGTGAGGGTGGGATTGTAGATTGATCGGTAAATCGAGAGCTTTGCCTCTCGACTCAGCTCCCACGAGTGTGGTAATAGATTCAACCTTAAACCTTTATTCCATAGTGAAAGTATGAGGAGAATCAAGACACTACTGTTTTCTTTTTGTTTTGTTTTTTTAAATAAGAAATAATCATCAAAGCATGATCAGCAGCTCTCACTAGAGCTGTTCGCAGCCGAGTGTGAAGTGGCCGGGATGAGGATCAGTGCCTCCAAATCCGAGACCGCAGTCTTGAGCCGGAAAGGGTAGAGTGCCTTCTCCGGGTTGGGAGGATTTACTGCCCCTAGTGGAGGAGTTTTAACCTGACAACAGCCAGATGCGGAGCGAGACATGCATCTGGCTGTTGTCAGGTTAGAGGAGTTTAAGAATCTTGGGGTCTTGTTCACGAATGAGGGGAAGATGGAGCGGGAGATCGATAGGCGGATTGGTGCAGCGTCTTCTGGGAAGCGGGCTCTGCACCGGTCTGTTGTGGTGAAGAGAGAGCTGAGCCAAAAAGCAAAGCTCTCGATTTACCGATCGATCTACGTTCCTCTCCTCATCTATGGTCATGAGCTTTGGGTCATGACCGAAAGAACGAGATCCTGGATACAAACGGCCGAAATGAGTTTTCTCCGTAGTTGTCCAGGTTCTCCCTTAGAGATAGGGTGAGAAGCTCAGTCATCCAGGGAGGACTCAGAGTAGAGCTGCTGCTCCTCCACATAGAGAGGAGCCAGTTGAGGTGGCTCAGGCATCTGGTTAGGATGCCTCCTGGACGTCTACCTGGTGAGGTGTTCCAGGCACGTCCCACCGTAGGAGGCCCAGGAGGAGACCCAGGACACGCTGGGGGGGCTATGTTTCTCGGCTGGCCTGGGAGCGCCTTGGGGTTTCCCTGGATGAGCTGGCCCAAGTGGCTGGGGAGAGGGAGGTCTGGGCCTCCTTTCTGAAGCTGCTACCCCCGTAACCCGACCCCGGATAAGCAGAAGAAGATGGTTGGATGGAAATAATAATCAAAATAACTGCCCTTTTTTTTGCGTGACATTTTTATGTTGTAGTTCTTTCCAGGTGGTGTAGAATCTATAGCAGGTAGTTCTACGCATCAATACATCAGCTGGTTTCTGAAAGTTACAGGTTCTTTAAAATTACTCCCAAAATGATACAGAGATGTACTGATACTAAAAACATTAAATTTTTTAACACTCAAGTATTTTCAAAACTGAGTACTTCAATCTCAGTTAACTTTTACTTGTATTTGAGTAAAAGTTTAATGAGTATCAATCATTGAGTATTTAGTCCACCACCTTCTGTGTTCATAGACTGTTTGTCATTTAGAGGGAGGAAACAATCAGAGAAAGTAACCTGCCTGTGATTGGCTACTTCTCAGGGAAAGTCATGTTAGCAAAGCATCTTCAGGCTAATATCTGTTCTCTTTAAGGGTAAAAACTGTTTTAATGATGTCATCATTAAATAACTTCATTTA